AAATATACTAATGAATTTAATTATAATGATAAGGGACTATTAAATTGTTTATAAATAAATACCTATTTTTTACTTCAACTTATGAACTTTTTAAAACAAGAGTTTAATGAGGTAAGTACATTAATATAAATATTCTTTTATTGCCTCTTTTAAAGTTGACTCCCTATTATACAATTTTGAGTTATAGAAATTAATTAATCATATCTGGTTTCCAATATGTATTGAATCTTTCTAAATGATGTATTTCTTTTTAGACTTCATGTGCTAAATTGATTCTGTTTACTTTATCTATTTTTTACCAAGATGTTTCATGGAATGTCGGACTAAATTATATTGCATTAGTTACCTTAGTTTACGAAATTTAATGATAGAATCATTTGAATAGGATTCCAAATTATTATCTAATATTAATGAAGAAAGATCAGTCCTTATTGGATAATTGCTTATATAACTTTGTTATTAAGAATGTAATTTAAGAGGAGATTAGCTATTTGTTTTGCTAACTTTTTTATGTTCTAATTCAATAATAGGTTATGAGGTTGAAATTTCATCACTTACCAAGGAAAGTTGATGTTTTCGATATTTTTTGATGTCTTGTTTAGTTCTTTGAAGTATGTTTGGGAATACTATCTTTTTAATGTTATTTTAATAATTAAGTATTTCCTATTGAGTTTTTGATGGAGAAATGACTTTAGATAATTTAGGTTGCGATGTTGAATGATGTGACTATTTAATAATTGGGAGTCTTGATTTGATTATAATATTACTTTTCTTCAATGTAATAGTCACCTGGTTAAATTTTGGTAGAGATTTAGAGATCAGTGAAAACAATTGGTAAGTATTCTTTAGTAGTATGAGACATTTTGTATAATTTATATAAATTGTATAAGAATATATATATATAATGTTAATATAATATAATATATAAGTAAGTGTAATAAAATTAAATTTAGTTAAGAAGGGGATAATATTAAGTGAATAATTGAATAGGAATAATAAATAAATGAATAATAATTCGTATTAGTAACATTTAGTAATGAAAACATAATACATCATGAAATAAAATAAATAAAATAAATTAAATCATAATTCCTAAATCTATAATTTGAATGACGTATAGTACGTATTATTCAAAGATGATTCATCTTGATAAAGCATCATAATTAAAAATAAAATGATTTAAACCTTCGCCAGACGTGCTCTATAACCTCAATTTAGAAGTCTAGCTAGATTTGGTTAGAGTAATGAGGAAGGCGATGTGTCTTTCTTAGAATAAGTGTATTAATACTTTGACAAGGCAGCTGCATTGACAAATATTCCTTTAGACATGCTGAAGTATTAACCATTAATAAAATAGCTATTATAAGAAGACAGATTGTGTGATTAAATTTCATTTACCACTTGTTAGAGATGATGGGACAGTTGAATGCGTAATTATATGAAACCTAATAGTCTTATTTAGATTCCAGCATTTAGAGCACAACACAAGACTCACAAATTACCAACAAAAGGTGGTACAAGATTAAGTGAACACATTCACACTGAAGAAGTAGAGGCATTGTCCTTATTAATGACATTCAAGAATGCTGTTTTAGAATTACCATATGTAATTAACAATATTATATAATGTTAGGGAGGTGCAAAAGGAGGTCTTAAAATGAATCCAAAGAAATATTCAAAAAGAGAAATTGAATCATTGATGAGAAGATTCACTATTGAATTAGCAAAAAGAAATTTCATTGGAGCAGCCATTGATGTTCCAGGACCAGATCTTGGTACAGGAGAAAGAGAAATGAGTTGGATGAAAGTATACTATCTCTTTCTATATATTTTAAGGATGAATACACTAAATTTGCAGGACATCTTGATATTAATGCTTAAGGATGTGTAACAGGAAAGGCCATTTCTTAAGGAGGTATTTCAGGAAGAACAGAATCCACAGGTTTAGGTGTCTTCTATGGATGCAGAGAAATTTTGGAAGATTATGAATTTTGCACATAAGCTGGTATTCCAGCTGGTTTGAGAGGAAAAAGCATCATCATATAAGGTTATGGAGCTGTAAGATAAAATATTAAATATAGGTTGGTTATTATGCAGCTAAATATATGTGTGCTTATGGTGCCAAATTAGTTGGAGTAGCTGAATGGGATGGTTCTATCTATGAAGAAAATGGAATTGACCCAGATGAATTATAAGCATTCAAGGAATCAAGAAAGGGTGTTAAGGGATTCCCAAAAGCCTCAGAATATCATGAAGATGAATCTGTCATTTATAAAGAATGTGATATTTTCATTCCTGCTGCTTTCGAATAAACTGTGAATAGAGTAATATCAATTTATTTATATTTAGAATAATGCTCCTAAATTCAATTGCAAAGTCATTGCAGAAGCTGCTAATGGACCTACTACTCTAGCTGCTGAAGAAATCTTAATCAAAAAGGGTGTTAAATTCCTTCCTGATATTTTACTTAATGCAGGTGGTGTTACAGTCAGTTATTTCGAATGGCTTTAAAATCTTGATCACATTAGGTTTCTATTATTATTTAAATCTTTTTTAGACCAGGAAGAATGACCAGAAGATGGGAAGAAACATCCAAATATAAATTGTTAGAGGCCATTTAAATTTCTACTGGTTTGAGAGTTGATGTTACCAAAAATTAATAGGCTGCTAAACTTCTTGAAGGTCCTTCAGCTGTATTATTTATATTCTATTCCTACTTTAGAAAGATTTAGTATTCACAGGTTTGGAAGAATCTATGGCAGTAGCTGTCTAAAAAACAAAAGAAACTGCTAGCAAATTGAATATTTCTTTGAGAATGGCTGCTTATTATAATGCACTCATGACAATTCATTAACATATTGACACAGCTGGTTTAAGATGATATATAGTATATAATAAATATTAATAAAATTGTGTTCATAAAAATAATTTTTTATTTATTTTTTTATTGCTATCTAAATACAATTGTTTATTAATTTTGAATATATAATTCAATTTAACAACAAAAATATATTTGTTGATTGATATAATTAACTTCACTTGTTTTTTTTTCTTTTATATTTTAAAATTTACTTATTTTTGATCTTCTATTGTTTTTGTTTAATCTTTTAGAATATACTTATTTTTGATAACTTCCATTAAATTTATCAAAATATTATTAATATAAATTTTATGTTTTTAATAAAGATACTTTTAAATCAAATTTCATTTAATATTAATATTATACATCAAATGAGCCAACTTTTTACCAATCCACTAATCTTTACCAATTTAATCAATTAACCTTAGCTATTTACATAACATTTTCCCTTTTAAAATCCTCTATAAACTTATTATTCATAAATATAAGTACCAAGCAATTTTGCCCCTTTTCAGAATTACTAGAGTTAGCAATATTTATAGTTATAATTACCATTTAATGGATATCATGATTATGGTAATGTTCTTACTAATCCTAGTCATTCACAATGAAAACTCTACAAACTCTTAAAAAACGAGTTTAGCAATAGGAAATTCTCCAACAACTTATTAAATTCTTAATCCTATTCAACAGCATCTTCTGAACAAATAAAAGCTTCGTGAATATATTGTATTAATTATTGATGACTATCATTAAATACATGATATTACATAAAACCTTAGAAATATCAATCAAACTCAATTAGCAAAGATCTTAGAAATCTTAGCAACAAAATAGTAATAATAAATCAAAAGTAGAGAAGAATTAATCAAATTTTGTTTAAGAAAAGCATTCAGGTTTATATTTAAGAAAATATCAGAAAGAGATAACATCTCAAGTACATTTATCAATAATCTATTTAGAAACTAATTTAAAAACAGCTCGTTAAGAGTTTTTAACAATTATGGAGTAAGAGAAAAAGATTCCACTTATTCTTCCATTTAGAAAGAACAGTAAAAACAAAACAATGAATAATGATTTTTTAAAAGAAGTATTTTCATCTCAAATTTTCCAAAGTTTTTATAAAGAGTTTTTAGGTATTATTTATTCTAAATAATAGATCATATAGATGATACTATATAAACTGATAGAAAGAAAAAGATTGATAAACTATAGGACAAAATTTGGTTGAGTTTAAGGGATAACAGAACCGTAATATTATATTCAATTAATATATAGACAACCTTTGATATTAAACGTCTTCCTTGGTCATAAAAAAATACAGAAAGAGTGAAGTCTATAGCTTTTGAATTGTTGACATTTTCATAAAATGATTAAATTTGAAAAACAAAAAATTTAAACATTAATGTTCTAGATGCCTAATTCATCTTCATAATCATACTTTGATGGATACCAACAATAATATTAAGTTATATTCAATAAGTTTAGTTTGTATCACAAACTAACATTTAAATCCACAAATTCATTAATTTTTACAAATAAATAATTAAAATGGTATTTAATTAATGAATACTATGATCACTTTATTTTAAGAAAGAATGCTAATCTCTATTACAATTAAAAATAATAATCAACAAAAGTTTAAAGTTTATCTACAAAGCAATTTTATTATTATATTAAATATTCTATTGTTTTTAGATAATGTATATTAATATGATGAATACTAAATGATATCACTATTTTATAAAATCAGTAATTCGATCTTTAAATTGTAAAATTCTTAATTTTAATTTCAATTTATAAATCCTTATTCTGATTAACATAAGTCCATTATAAAATTTTAATTTTATATTTAACACATTATTATCATTTAATATAAGAATTAGTCTTTTTATTCTTTGTAATTTTCTATTAATATTATTAATAATATTTATAGAAATAATTCTAAGAAATAAATATTATTATTCAATTATTAAAATTACAATCTAAATATATGTAAAAATAATAGATATTAAGTATATTGATATTCAATTGTTTTTAAAAATAGATGTTCAAAATTGATATTAAAAATAAATCAAAAATTGATTTTCTTACCAATTTATCAATAAAATTTATTATAACGAAAATTCAAAACAAATAAATGAATGGGAAACTTGTACAATCATTAATCAATTTATTCCCTTTTTAACATTAAGATATGATGATCAAATGTGTTTTCATTATTGGATTTGATAAACTTATCAAAAAGGGTTATGTCACAAATGGAAAACCTAACATTCATGAAATAATCAATTATGCAAGTAAAGCATAAATTTAAATTTAGGCAAATTGCAATAATATGGAAGATTATTATAAGTTCAAGAACCATGTGATATTAGACATGAATTGGATTAATTAAGAGATGAAATAAGTAAATTAACATAATAGATCCATTATAATAATTCAATAATGTAATGACTATCAATCTATAAAGTTAAGACAACGACAAACACAAAGAAGTCATGATAGACTAATGCAGAATGTATCTCCAATATATGATGACCGAAAAAGATCTGCTTCACTTGGATTCAAATAGTAATAATAATTAATCCAAAAAAAGTCTAAAGAGATAACTCCAAAGATTACAGAAACACCACCTTAAACAATTAATTAAATACATATAACAATCTCTAAACATCATTTAGATGATACAGAGATTAAATCTATAATGAGAGACAATTTAATAAAAGACAAACCTCCAAAACCTATTAAAACTATTTAAGATAATCATTAGAAAAAGAGTCATTATGTTGAATGTTAGCATGCAGATATTGAAGAACCTCCCCTATTTGAAGATACAGATAGATATCCAGTAAGAGATAATTATAATCCATAATATATATAATAATAACTTTAATATAGTTAAATATCATAATAATAATAATAATAATCATAAATATCTTCTTAATCAAATACAAAATAAAGTGATCATAATACAAATTAAACATTTACTTAACCATAATCTAGTTAAAAATAGTTAATATAAATATCCAAATCCTCTTATAGTCAATAAAAATCACCAAATAGATCTCCTAAATTTAAATATTCATAAAAGTAATAATCAAAAAAGAATTTAGAAACTGTGTAAGAAGAATGTTCATATTCACATGCAAAATTACACTCTGATTCTTCTAAAGGGAAAACATCAAATAGATAAACAAAAACATAATAAAACACTTAGGCAGTATCTAAAATTAAAGCTTTACTTGATTAAGATAAAAAAATGCATAAACAACATTTATTAGAAATTGCAAGTGAAAGAAATTCTTTTACAAATTCCTCAGATAAACTAAAAATGATGCATGAAGAACATCTTTCTGAAAGCAATCATTCTAAAATGAATAAGATAATAACTTAAGAATTAAATGAATCCCTTCATAAAAGAGCTTTCTCTAATAATAGTTTTTACAAATAATAGTAATAACCATTGTCACCCTAATTAGATTATGAACCAAAGATAATGGGATAATATAATTAATTATAAGGCTCTGTATCTATGACCAATTCAAATAGAGTAAGTAATCCTTCAGTATAGGATAATATTCTGATATATAGTAAATATAAATAATAGGTTTTGGATCAATATTCACCAAAATTAAATTATCAGTTTAGACCATCAAGTGTTGGGAAGTAATAGGAAAGTGAATTAAAAAGATCTGAAGATTTTAATAGAAGTTCTGTAAGTAGTACTTTTTCAATGTTCAATCCAAATGAAGAATTAAAGACATTCTTTTAAAATGATTTTTTGGAAAGAAAAAGATACACTTAATAAGGATATAGTGACATGATGAAATAAGTAAGATATAAATTAATATATGTAGTCGTCTTTAAATTCCTCTTAAGAAAACAATTAACATCATAGTAAGTACATATCTGGAAGTTAGATTGAGGATCATTAAAATTATAGTAAAAATTAATATAGTCCTCAACAATATTAAAATATTGATAAATCTAATGTATTCAATAATAATCGATTAAGCGTAACAAGAATACTAAATAACTCATAAATATGAAAATATATTCGTTTTTTTATTATAATGAAATTATTATTAATTGCACTCTTAGTATTAGGAAATACATAGTGGATTACATCATATGAGGCATTCCAAACAGAAGAATTTGATTCTTTAGATGGTATATTAAATAAATAATATAAAGGTTGGGTGATCTAAAATTAATTTGAAGCAACTACAGATATAATTACAAAATGTAGTGGTAAGAATATTATTGGTGGACTAAAGACTTTTGGTACTAAAAGTACAGCTACTAAATTAATTAAAATACCACCTCATTATAAGTTGAAGTTCAATTTGCAATTATGGAAGTATTAAAATTATATATAATTTATTTTTTAGAATAGGAGAATGGGAAAATGATGTATTTTCTGCTTATGTAGATGGAGTTCCTTGGGAAATGAAATGGGGATTTACAGAAGGAGGAATTCGTCTATGTGGAGGATCTGAATCAAAAAATAGTGATAAGGTATTTGATGTGGAATTTGAAATACTTCATAATTCTCCAACAGTTACAACAGTATTGGCTACTACTTCTTAAGGGAAAGCAGATGTATAAGCTTGGGGATTTAGATAAATAAAAATATCATTTATTCCATGTCCATCAGATTGTGGGATATGTCATAATGATAAAGTTTAAGAATGCAAACATTGGAATTAAGAAGCATTGAGTTGGTTCCATGTAGATACAAAATTGGAAGGATGGAAATTAGAGAATGGTAAACCAAAAGGATATGAATGTTCTGGTATAGTAATATTTGGTGGATATGAAAATATTGGTGCTAAGGCTTTATTATCAAATACATTTACAAATATAGTACCTCATAGTAAAGTAATGGTGAAATTTACTTTTTGGAAGGTAAAATTATGATAATATATATTTATAGATTGATTTATGGGATAATGAAGAATTTTATGTAAAAATTGATGATAAATAAGTCTAAAAATTAGCATTTTAAAAAACAGATGGAATTGATTTATGTGGAGCGTAAATATTTATATATAATTTTAGTAAATAAACAAATCCTGGTTATGGAGAGAAAATAGTATCTATAGAAATAATTTAAAAACATTCTAGTCCAACTTTAACTATATCATTTACTACATCATTAAAAAATGATCCTGTTGAATAATCTTGGGGAGTTCGTGATTTCTTTTTGTTTGCTGCATAATGTACAAAATTTTGTGATGAATGTGTTGGAACTGCTGAAAATGAATGCACAAAATGTTAACCAACACATACATTATAAGATGGTAAATGTATTAATAAAAATGAATGGTATATATTATCTAAAGAGTTTTATACTGCTGATTAATTTAATAAAGTAGATGGATGGATATTTTAAGATGTTGATCCTGCTGGTCCTAATCCACCATTAACAAAATGTGGTGATTTAGGATTAGTAGGTGGATATTAAGCTTTTGGAAAAGTAATTATTATAATATTATTTATAATTTTAGAAAGCAACAGTTTAAAAAGTATTTAAATTACCTAAACATGATTTTGTTAGAATTAAGGCAACAGTTTATAAAATAGATTAATGGGATGGAGAAGAATTGACTATGTTTGTTGATAATTAAGAATTTTGGAGTTAATTTTTAGGATGGAATGATCCTGGTTAAAGTGATATTTGTGGTAATTAAAATGGAAAATGGAAAGAAAGAATAATGAATATAGATAAAATCATTGCTCATTCATAATCAGAATTAACTGTTGATTTCAAAAGCACATTATAAAAAACTGCAGATGAGGCTTCTTGGGGATTTAGAGAATTTTTATTATTATATTCACCATTAAAAGAATGTATAGAAGTCTTTAGTGAATGTAATTACAAAGGATAATCATCTAAAATTTGTGATAATGTTGAATCACTCAAAGATGTATATATATTATTATATTTAGGCATAAATAGAATTTGATATCAAATCTATCAAAATTCCTGAAGGTTTGAAAATTACAGGATTTAAGAATCCAGGATTTAAAGGTGATAGAGTAGAATATGAAACCAATTAAGAATGTATTGACAAAATTGAATTCTCGTTGATATAAAAGTAATTGACAGGAAATATGAAATATATAAATAAATGATTGATTAATATGAAAATAATCCTACATTTTGGAATAAATTTTCATTTGCTGGTGGACCAACACAACTTCCTAGATCTGTATTGCATAAATTGGAGAAATAATTTATATAACCAAATGGTAAATCTATTTTAGAATTATCAAAATATGATCATGAATATCATCAAATTTTAGATTAAGCTATTAATGATTTGTAATCTCTTTTAGATGTAAATTTATATAATATCTAAATAAATAAAGATTCCAAACTAATACAAAATTATCTTTTGTTAAGGTGGAGCATCACTTTTATTTGAAGCAATACCTATGAATTTAATGAAAACATAACATAGTTCTATATCTTATACAAATACAGGATATTGGTCTTCAAAAGCTCTAGAAGAAGCTTAAAAATTCTGTTAAAATGTTAATATTGCTACTAATATTGCAGTAAAACTTATATTTAATTGAAGTAAGATGAATTTGGTAAAAGATTTATTCCTGAACTTGAATAATGGAATATAAATAAAGAAGATTCTTATCTTCATTATTGTGATAATGAAACTGTTGAAGGATTAGAATATCAATTTATTCCTAAATTTAGTAGTGTTCCTATTGTAACAGATATGAGTTCCAATTTCTTAACTAAGTATATTAAATCAACTAATAAGACCTTTGGATTGGAGTAAATTAGACCTAGTTTATGCACATGCATAAAAAAACATTGGAATTGCAGGTTCAACCTTAATGATTATCAAACCTGAACTTATCAATAATCATCAAAATATTCCATATATGTGGGATTTCAAAGAAATGATTAAAAAATAATCATTAATCAGTAATCTTCCAATCTTTCCAATTTATGTCAATACATTGGTTTTTGATTGGATCAAAAAATAAGGAACCTTAGATTTTTGGGATTAATACTGTAAAAAAAGATCTCAATAATTATATAAAATTATAGATAATAGTCATGGAGTGTATATAAATCAAGTAAAGAAAGAATAAAGATCAAGAATTAATATTACATTTACATTAAAAGATGAAATTGAAACAAATAAATTTATTGAGTTATGCAAAAATAATAACATTATTGAAGTGAAAGGACATAGAGCCATAGGTGGATGTAGAATATGTTTATATTTGCCTATTCCATAAATAGGTATAGATAAATTATCTTTAATTATGGAAGACTTTATGAATTGATCAATATCTGTGAGTTATTGTTGTAAATAAATCATCATTCAAATAAAGATCTATATTATATTATTATTAAATTGTTATTTCTATTCTTTATTTATTTTGTAGTATAATTTAATTTACTTTTTTATTGCAAAATTTTGAAAAGTATATTATTTTAAACTTCTGTTTGTTTTTAAACTTGGTATAACCTACCTTTCAATAGTAAAGTTCGATCAAAAACTATTAAGTTTAAAACTTTTATTAGGTGTGTTTATCTTATCTATTATTTCATATAAAATGAATTCTTTTGATTTTCAAAAAAGACTTTTGTTATGTTATGTTTAGTCTTTCACTGTAAACTTGAAATATTCTTCATAGTACTTAATTGATTCTAACTTAAAACCAATTTTTTTAAGAATAATCTCTGGTTTCATCACACACTAGNAGCTCTAGAAGAAGCTTAAAAATTCTGTTAAAATGTTAATATTGCTACTAATATTGCAGTAAAACTTATATTTAATTGAAGTAAGATGAATTTGGTAAAAGATTTATTCCTGAACTTGAATAATGGAATATAAATAAAGAAGATTCTTATCTTCATTATTGTGATAATGAAACTGTTGAAGGATTAGAATATCAATTTATTCCTAAATTTAGTAGTGTTCCTATTGTAACAGATATGAGTTCCAATTTCTTAACTAAGTATATTAAATCAACTAATAAGACCTTTGGATTGGAGTAAATTAGACCTAGTTTATGCACATGCATAAAAAAACATTGGAATTGCAGGTTCAACCTTAATGATTATCAAACCTGAACTTATCAATAATCATCAAAATATTCCATATATGTGGGATTTCAAAGAAATGATTAAAAAATAATCATTAATCAGTAATCTTCCAATCTTTCCAATTTATGTCAATACATTGGTTTTTGATTGGATCAAAAAATAAGGAACCTTAGATTTTTGGGATTAATACTGTAAAAAAAGATCTCAATAATTATATAAAATTATAGATAATAGTCATGGAGTGTATATAAATCAAGTAAAGAAAGAATAAAGATCAAGAATTAATATTACATTTACATTAAAAGATGAAATTGAAACAAATAAATTTATTGAGTTATGCAAAAATAATAACATTATTGAAGTGAAAGGACATAGAGCCATAGGTGGATGTAGAATATGTTTATATTTGCCTATTCCATAAATAGGTATAGATAAATTATCTTTAATTATGGAAGACTTTATGAATTGATCAATATCTGTGAGTTATTGTTGTAAATAAATCATCATTCAAATAAAGATCTATATTATATTATTATTAAATTGTTATTTCTATTCTTTATTTATTTTGTAGTATAATTTAATTTACTTTTTTATTGCAAAATTTTGAAAAGTATATTATTTTAAACTTCTGTTTGTTTTTAAACTTGGTATAACCTACCTTTCAATAGTAAAGTTCGATCAAAAACTATTAAGTTTAAAACTTTTATTAGGTGTGTTTATCTTATCTATTATTTCATATAAAATGAATTCTTTTGATTTTCAAAAAAGACTTTTGTTATGTTATGTTTAGTCTTTCACTGTAAACTTGAAATATTCTTCATAGTACTTAATTGATTCTAACTTAAAACCAATTTTTTTAAGAATAATCTCTGGTTTCATCACACACTAGTTTATTATTCATATCCCCATATACTCCTATGTTATTATTTACTCTAATAGATAACAATGTGAAAACAAAAAAAAACTGACTAAAAATTGATTAATCTGCCACCTCTATCAAGAAATTTGTAGGTGTTCTTGAATTAATTTTTAAAGTAGATATTTCATTAATTAAAAATTAATTTGGAGGCTCTAAGGTTACTTTATAATTTATTATAAATAATAATTCCATAACTTAATAAAAAATGCTGCTGTAATTTCTTGATTGAGCTGTAAGTTATATATATGATTTATTAGGAATTTTATCTTTAACATATAAATGTTAACTAAATTTTCTTTATTTAATATATGGGGATGGCTTATGTAATTAATTTCTAAATGTTTCGTAACAATATCTATCTGAATTATATTATCAGTTTAAAACTTTCAGTTTGTAACTTTCAGTATCTCATCATAAAACCGTTTCTTTGCATAGAAATAAAGGGATTGCTTTTTTATTCAGACTTATAGATCCTGTTTTAGAAATAATCTTTTGGTAATGCTATATCGATCAAGAATAAGAAAAAACTCTTTTTCTTTTTGGTGGTTAGAATATTTTTTTGCTATTTAATGTTGATGATATAGCATATTAAATAAATTATATAATAATTAATTGATTTATCAACAAAGTTATAAATATTTAATATCCATTATGTAATTAATCATCTAAATTATTGAATGAAATATGAAAGTAAATATTAATTTATAGAATAATATTTTAAATTAGTGATATAATAAAATTTTCATAGATCAATTTCAGATTAATAGAAATTCAAATAAATTTAGGTTAAACAAAAAATTCTCTACCTATTATTATGATATTTTTTCTTAATCAAAATCAAAAATTATTAATTATTTAATTTATTCTTTAATTTTTCTTATAATTTTTGTCACAACTTAAGAACTTTAATTGAAAAGTATAGATTTTTTTAAATTAATATCAGATATAATTAAAATCCATAAAAAAATGTCTATTTGTTTTATAAAATATTATGAAAATTGATTATAAATTTGGTAATAAAATAAAAATTAATAATTTTTTAATTCTATAAATGAGTTTCGATCCAGATCAAATTTAAAACTATCAATAGTAAAGGATTATGAGTGCAATCAATTGTTAATTAATAGAGTTTACAAGTGATTAGACTAAATAAAAATTTTATATTATACATGGAAAAATAAATTAAAAAGTTTAATTTAACGAATAATTATATGAGTTTATAGCAAAGAATGAATGCTTTAACTTGATTTCAATAACTAATAAGATTAACAGAAATGATGAAATTTTTATTTAAATAGAACAATGCGATTTCACATTATATTAATATATGCTAAACAGAAAAACTCATTAGTTTTCTACAGAAGAAATTTATGATATATTAAGTTAGATTATAAATGCATATATGCATATGAGCAAATATACAAAAAAATTTTTATAGTTAAATCCTTCCAGCATATTAGTGAGGAGAATAAAAAACTAAAAAATATTAATAAAGATATTTATTGATTTCTTCTAGAGTGATTAGCAATCAGCCTCGAATTTTACTCATTATAAAGCTCCAGAAGAATTAAATACTCCTTAAATTCTTTCATAAAAAACTGATATTTATGTGGTAAGATAATCAATATCCTTTAGCTTGGAATTATTTTATATTAATTATGTTACAACATGAAAAGACCAACAGAAGGAATTAACAATTTAAATGACCTAAAAAAATTTTAAGATGATTTAATTAAAAAAAAATTCTCAGAATAGCTTGATTAATATGATGAAGTTAATTAATTCTTAAAAAAATTGATAGGACAGATGATGGAGTATAATGAGTACAATCGAATAACTTGGTAATAATTATCAATGCACAACAATTTGTAACTTAATTTCTTCCTTTTAAAAAATAAATACTATATCAATTTTAATTAATAACTTGGTCGAGGTTCTTAAGGAGTCACTTATTTAGTTGAAAATTTGGAAACAAATGAATGTTTATGTGCTAAGAAAATTGACACTACTTAAATAGAAGGTCAAAGGGAATAAGAAATTTATGAAAAATTAATTAAATAAAAACAAAAGAATATAAATGTCATTGAGATTTTTGATATTATTGAAACTTCAGACTAAAAATAAACATTTCTAATTATGGAGAAATGCGATTCAAATATTGAAGAATATTATAAATAGAAAAAAAGAGAACTTAGAGATGAAGAAATTATGGATATTCTCAGGCAAATTGTAAATGGTTATTGTTATTTAAAAAAATTAGAAATAATTCATAGAGATTTAAAACCTTAGAATATTCTTGTTAAATATGAAAATAATACTCCCATTTTTAAGGTAATAATATATTTAAATGTATTAGATCATAGATTTTGGTGTTGGAAAAATTATTACTAATTAAGATATAGCAGTCACTGTTGCAGGAACACCAATATTTTCTGCTCCAGAAGTTATCGAAGGAAGACAATATGATTATTAATGTGATATCTTTTCAGTACTTTTTTCTATTATTTTAGCTTGGAACCATTCTATATTATTTAATTTATGGAGAATTCTATTTAAACGTTTCATCTTTAGAAGAACTAAATAGAAAGTAATAGCAATTTAAATATAATCCTTTAAAATGTCCTTAAACTAAAAAAACTTTAAATAATGAGCTAAGTGATAAGTTCAAATAGTTAATCGAAAATATGACACTTTATGATCCTTAAAAGAGAATAACTTGGGAAAAATTAAACTAAGAATTAAATTAATTCAATTTTAAGAATCAATAAAATGAGATTTAGGATTAGTTGGAAAATTAAGGGAATTTGATTTAATTAAAAAAAAAAAACTAAAATCCTAATATTAAGATTTATGAATAAAATTAGTAAGTACATTAAAATTCAATAGAACAAGATCGAAATCTCAATTTGATAGTTAATTAGCAAAATAAAATTAATGTGTAATTGCCAAAGATTTAAAATATAAACGAGGGTGAAAACTAATACTAATAGGTAAAGCATCTCACTAATGTTTAAAGCTTTTAGGAACCAAAACATATAATACATATTTAAAATCAAGAAATCAATTAACCTTATGATTATGAAAAAAATTAAAAAAACCATTTAAAAATAATTTCTTAATAAAATGAAAATCCTTAATAATTATAATCTGTAAATCAAAATTAACAAATCAAAATTTTATATTAAAATCAAAACAACTAAATGCAGAATTCAGATAAAAGATCCAATTAAAATTAGATACAAGAGGGATTTAGGATGCCATCGGAAAATTAGCATCGAATTTAATAAAACTAGTTATTTGAATATTAAGTATAATAATAATAATAAAACTTATATTAATAGCAATAATAATCATAAAAATCACAATAATAATCAATATAATAGCAAAATCAATAACAATAACAATAACAATAATAATTCTATTAATAATAATAACAATATTATTAATAATAATAATAATACTATTAATAATAATAACATTAATAATACCAATAACAATTATAATAATAACATTAATACTATCAATAATAACAATAATAGCAATAATAATAATAGTAACAATAATAATAATAACAATAACAATAACAATTATAATAATAATAATAATAATAATAATAATAATAATAATAATAATAATAATAATAATAATAATAGCAATAACCAAAATAATAACAATAATAACAATACTCTTAATAATAATAACAATAACAATATATAGAATTAATCGAAATTAATGACAATATTGAAAATCCATAGTTAGATGCTTAACTTAATGATCAGATTGAATAATAATATATTACTATAGGTAATACCCCTAGAGATAGTGATTTAGATTTTCAAAACACTGTACAACTGATATAATAATATCCAGACTAAATGGATATAATTTTATATGTGTCTTGCTTTCTTGCTACAATTTAAAATGCTATAGAAAAGTTGCAATAAGCAGAAAAATCAGATCACAAAATAATTTTAGAATTTTTTTTGAGAAATTGTGAAATTTCTTGTTTAGAGGACATAAAAGTATTAAAAGAAAAATAATATATATTTTTGGATGGGCATATAATATATGTAATTTCAAATGATGTATTATCACAAGTAAGTCTTGAGTATTTAAATAATTAAATTAAAAAGATAGAATCCAAAAGTATATTATCTGAAATTTATTAAACGATAAAATCTGAAATATTCCGAAAAAAATTCTGTTATTTAAATCAATTTTTATAAAGAAAGAAAGAAGAATAATAAATTACTTGTTATGACACAATTGTTTATTTTCAAGAAGTTTTTCACCATCTAAATTAAATGAAAGATAAGAGCATAATTAAAGAAGAGATATTCTAATCATTAATAAAAGTAGATGAATTTATTAAGAAATTTTAAGTAAAAAGATTGGATAAATTGAATAAAAATGATATGATAAATTTTTAATGATAATTTATTTATTTATTAATTAAAATCTAAGATTAATATCAAAATTGGATATATATTTTGAATATAAACAACAAAGGAATAATAATCTTCATTCAAAATTTGATTCAAAAATCAGTGAGCTTCATTTTATAATGCTTCTTAATATATCGAATAGAATGTAGATTTCTTATCGTTTAATAATTCTTATGTGAATCCATATTCTTTCAATTACCCTTTATCAATAACTATAATCCTAAAGTAATAGTAATAGATAATACTTATCACAATGTAAAATTGTATTTATCCTATGAGCAATAGTTAATACAGTGCAATTTTCAAATGCAGATTAAATAACTTATTAAATCTTATGTTCTGTGTCCACATCAATATTTGCAGTGGCCTCATCAATAATAACAATTTTAGTTTTTTTTAAAATAGCTCTAGCTATACAAATTAATTATTTTTCACCAGCACTTAGATTGTCTCCACCTTCTGAAATTTTTGTCAACAATCCGTCTCTATTACTAATTAATCTATTTAAACAACATTAATTAATGGTTGATAAAATTTCTTCATTTGATCTTTGACCCAAAGGATCTAGATTTTCTTTAATGGTGGCATTGAATATTACAGCATCTTGTAATATGATTGTAATTGATTCTCTTAATTATTTAAGTGATAAAGTTGAAATATCAACATCATCAATCAGTAATTGTCCTTCTAATGATTCTAAGATTCTCAATAGACTCAAAGTAATGGATGATTTACCAGCTCCAGTTCTACCAACAACTCCAATTTTTTCTTTAGAATTAATTTTGAAATTTAAATTATTTAGTGCAGGTGGGAGATTTTATCGATATTAAACAGAGAAGTTGACAAATTAGATTTCACCAAGACTTGGCCAATTCTATACTCTAACATTATCTTCATTTCTTTTCTCTGATTTAACACTTAAAAAATAATATATTAAAGATACTTTGTGTATGCTAAACATCTTTCAAAGGAAATAATTCCATTTTCTAATAGACTTAGAGATTCTACTGTTTGAAGAATGTTTACATCTATATTTGAGGCATATGTCATTAAAAGTCCTGCGAATGCTGGATTTTGAGTATAATAGATGCAATAAACAATAGCTGATATGTTAACAATAAGACTAGACAATCCTAAGATTTATAAAAACCATGCATTAGATTCAACCTATTTGTAATATATTTTTTTGTTGGTGTCTATTTTCTTAGAAAAATTGTACAGGAATTCATTAGTTTGTTAATAAGCCCTTATTGTTGTTAATCCTGATAAGGTTTCAGTGAAATAACTTAGAATAGGGCTTTTACTAATTAATTCTAATCTTTAAAGCTCTCTGGAAGCTTTCATATAAAGTCTGTTCATTTTAAAACAAATCAAAAAGAATCCCATAATAGGAAATATTATTAAGTATGTACTTGCATATACATTAAGAAATGTATTACTAATCAATTGACTTACTTTAGTATAGAGCCAACTAATATTCCAATAGATTTCAGTATCTAATGAATTAATATCTTTTGTTAGTCGATTCATAATTCTACCCTAAGGTACTCTTTCGAAAAATGAACATTAAGGAGCATAAATTAATGTTTTCATCATTTTGTTATGAACAATTTAAGCTGATTTAATTGATTAATGTATGATTGTTACTCCTCTAAGAAAGGCAAAGAATGCTTACATAAAACCAAATGTGAAGTAGATTGAAAAGTATAAAGTATTTCTTGAAAATTCTTCATCTTTTGATGATAATGCAGCCCATTTTGAAATCCATATACTTGAACCAAGATAACAAAATATCCAGACGATCATAATCACCATAACCAAAGAGAAACTTAGACAGCCTCCATTATGAGCAAAGTATTATAAGAATACATCATAATTAATATTACCTTTCTATCTCTCTTCTAAAATCATAAGATCATCAACTTCATCTTATTAAGTGGATTTAATTGGTAGAGTTATAGTAGTAGAAGAATTCAGATTGGAATTACTATCAGATTTAGAATGTTTTTTTAGATCATCTAAAGGATTGGATATCAATATAGAATCTTCTAAATCTTCATTATAATTATTGTTAAATTTAGTTTTAATTTCTTAAAATTTTTAACTTTTGAGCATATTTCTATAAGTGCCTTATTCAATAACTTCTCCTTTTTCAAATAAGTAAATATAATCTGTATATTTACAATAATTTAAAGCATGTGTAATGAGAATTCTAGTAGTCTACTTTAATTTTCCTAATAAGCATTCTTTCATAATAAAATTTCCAACATGTGCATCAACAGCACTTAATGGATCATCCAAAAGAATAATATCTGAATCACTATAAATAGCCCTAGCCAAACTAATTCTTGCTTTTTGACCACCAGATAAATTGATTCCCTTTTCTCCAATCATAGTTTAATCTCCATTAATTAATATCTACAAATCTTAAGTTAAACAAGAATAATATATAGCATTGTCATATTATTGTTAATTAAATTATTTACCAAAAAGAATATTATCTTTAACTGATGCATTTTAAATCCAAGGTTTCTAACTAACATATGCTAATTTTCCATTTAATCTTATTTTAGGTTACCCATATCCTTCTAAATATATCATTTCTCCTAAAAGTGCTTAAAAAAATGAAGTCTTTCCAGCACCTACATCTCCTATTATTGAAACAAACTTTCCAGGTTCTATTCTCAAATTTATATTTTTTAATATAGGTTATTCTGATTATTGTGCTTAAAAACTTTCCTTAACATTATCTATTCCTTCATTTTGATCTTCTAAATTTGCTTTAAGTTCAACTGAATTATTAATTTATTTGTTCCAATAGAATACTGCATTTTAAAAATCAACTGCTGCTGTAGGATCTCTGAATTCTGATGTATGTATACAATTAGTCATTAGATCCTTAGTAGCTAGAAATTTTGATATTCTTTTTAATGAAAGTTTTGCTTCAATTAATGAATTTATAGCTATAGGTAATTGAAGGAGTGGCTATTATAAAATCTAAAATAAGCTTATTATAGCAAATGTAGTGCTAGGATTCAATTAATGACCCAAATAAACATATAATCCAAATGTCATACTCAAAATTAATTAAGGTGTCAACCATACAGAAAATATATTAATTGCTGAATAATAGAGTCTATTTTTTATGCTTTTAATTTCCTTCTCTCTTGCTTCCTCAACTTTTGACAAAAAATGTTCTTCTAAAGCATTAATTTTAATAAATTTTATTTAAGAGAATATTTCATTAGCTATTTTTGTTCTTTCATCTTTATCTTTCAATAATTTACGTTATGATTTAACAATCTATTTACCTGTAAATATATTAAATAGTATCATTATTAATATGATTGTACATCCAATCAAAAATGACAACCCTATCATACTATACATTAAATATAAACTAATTCCTAAAATAATATAAAATAACATACATTACCTAATTGTAATGGTATCATTAATACACTAGAAATGTAACTTGTAATTAAGATTAGTTTCTGAGCATCTACTTATATTAAATTTGTTATTTCTCCACTTGACCATTCAGTAGTACTTATTAATGAAACTCTTAAACATTTTCTCATTATTTCCACACTAACTACAGACATTGCATCATAGCCAACACATAGCTTTTAATATTATTTTAACTCATACCATCATTCTTCTAGAATGTGCTTATGAAAAAATATTCATTATTCTTAGAAATAAAATGGCCAAAATCAAATAGATTGCATCATTTTCATCTCGATTTTCACTCTTAATAAAGTCAATAACAGTTTTTATTAATAAAGGCATGCAAAGCTAACCTAATGTTAATACTAAAAGTATTAGGATAACTTTTAGAAGTGGAGCTAATATGACATAGAATATTACACATAAAGAATAATAAAAGCTATTTAATAAGTTTTCCATCCTTTTATAGATATGAAGAAAACTATTCATGCATTTTAAGAGATCTCTTCTATAATCTTAATTCTTTAATTTAATCACTTTCAAGGGAGACTTTTTGAGATTGCTAGATTATGAAGTTTCTCAATACCTTCATCATTGGATAAACATCTAAGAAAAATAGCAAAGTTAATAAAGACCTCTTTTCACCATGGCTTTCTTCTTCAGAATTTGATAAAAGAGGTAATTATTAATTGCTAACTGGTTAAAGTTCAAGATTAAATTACGAAGGTAAGTCCATGGAATTTATTAATAATAAATGAATTAAAAATTACTTTAATAAACCATTTCATAATACGTAAAATTGTTTCAATTTTTAATATCACCTCATCTTAATTATTGTTCATTATATTTATAATATTTATACAAGACATTTAATTTAAATGAAAGATTAATTTTTATACAATCTTTATTATAATATAGAATATGAAAATAATAGATTTTTAAAAGAGGTTTTTAATAATATATATAAAATAAAGTAAATGATGAAATGTTGAAATTACTAATCCAACTTATGAAGAATATTAATAAATCAATGATCTTTCTTAATATGTAAGGTTTATAGACTATTTTTAATTCTCATTTATTAAATAAGAATTTTATGATCAATAAAGTGTTAAGTTATGCAAATAAATAAATAATATATCAAAAAATCAATTTTAAATTATGTACAAAAAGGATCTAATAGCAATATATAAGGACAAAATAAATAATATAATTCAGAAAATATATAAACAATTTAAATCATAACCTTAAAATTACGTAATTTACATATGTTAAGACAAATTGATAGGATCATAATAATACCTTGAATCACTTTAAAATACTTCCAGTATTACTCAATAAATTAATATTGTAATTCAATTCAATATATCATCTGATCGATTATTAAGAAGGAAATGAACATATTGATGAATTTCAATTGCACATTAAAAATACTAAAATTTTTAGAAGTTCTTTAAGTGCTGAAGTTTTTGGAATCCACAATAAAAGAGATCTTGATAAGTTATACCGAAGACGACAGAATATGAATAATAAATATTAAAAAAACTTATAAAGTGTTTATATTTCATGTTCTTGATTAACATGAATAAGAGATTATAGTGAATGCCATAAAAGAGAACATTGCTCAAAAGATGAGTGAGTGATTAATCAGGAAGATAATTATATGGTGATCGTTTATTTAGATAATAATTCTAAATAGTGTTCGAATTGAAAATCTTAAGATATAAAAAATTGAATGATATAAATAAAAAATGAATGCAATCTTATTTTCAATTTTCTTTTTTATTTAATGCTACAATAATTTATTTTTCACTTCTGTATTTCATTAATGTACTCATTAATTTTGTATCTTCTTGTGGTTCATAGGATCCATATGGCTATTTTTCACATTCTTTCTAGAATGATTAATATTTTCTTTGTAATAGAGTTTAATTTAAATCAAACCCATTTACTTAAGGAGGTCTTGTTGTAAGTGCAATATTTAAATGAAAGAAAAATCCAACAACAAGTCTCAAATTTGCAATCATAAATATGAAATATGCAGAAGGGATAATATGAGATGTAAATTATGATTCATAATATTCTCTAGCAAGGGAATAAAATGTTCCAATACATATGAATGATGGCAAATCAATTAATAATGCTTAAATTAATTCTTATATTTATCTACTATTTAAAAGATGATTTTTCACTTGAATTCCAATTTATGGACAATATTATCTTAGAATATTTTCTAAAACATAATTATTTTCACTCATTTTCCAAATATATGAAAATAATGTTGCTTAATCAGCATCCAAATTTTTCAATAAATTATACATATTTATATAATTTGTGTATATTACAATCATGAATTTTGTTATAGCAACTGAAGATAAGACAAAAAGTTAAACAAAAAATTTATATTACAATTCTTTCATTAAGTTTTTGTCTTATAAATAATCAATAAAACTACCACAAAGTCCAATCACCTAAAATTCAAAATAATAATCTGCTTATATAAATAATAGAATAAAAAACTAAAATAATTCCTATCTATGAGGATAATTATAAATTTAAAACTTCTTTTCTTCAAATGTTCTTATACAATAATCTGGTACTGCTTTTACTCTTATTTTCACTGCCACATATAAATTCAATACTTATATATAAAGAACCAAAAGAAAATATATCAAGCTTATTAATATTGCATATTCATTATAAGTAGAAAAATAACAAGGATCTTAATTTTTACAATCATTTTTTAGTTCTCTTGGATCTACATTGTAATCATAATAAAATGCTATAATCACACTTAATATTGCCTATATTGGTACAAAAATTATCTAAATTACACAATAGGATCGAATACAAACTTTGTTTTACCTTAAAAATTTATAGAGTGAACTACTTAATTTAAAATCTGTATATTAATAGAGTTTTTTATTAATTATTTAAATTATCCATTTCACACTGTTATTCCGTTTTAATATATACATTTTAAGCTTAATCAATAAATAATACAATATTCCATCATCAAATATATTAATAATCCTTTATTAATTATCTATCTTCCCACAAATTAGATTATATTCCATAAATTATTCATTGATCATGCTAATGTACATATGCATTTTCCCAACACTTGTACTAAATTTAGTACTACCAGAAAAATCAATACATTCCAATTATTAAAAATTAAAATATTTAGTACCAAACCAAATAAGAAAATTATCTGTTAAATTAGAATCTCTTATTATTAAATTTTTCAGATAATCTGGTGTATTCTTTATATGATAATTCACACTATAAAGTATATACGATTCTATTATTTAGATAGCTAATTCCTCTGATATTTAAGTCCATGTATTATAGATATATAAACCTTTGTTATTTTTTAAAAATTGCAATAGATCTTAAGTTCCAAGTGCTTTATTATTATCAATAATAAGTAATTTAAAATAAGATAATTTTTAATCACAATTCGACTACAAAATTGTATTTTCTATTAAATTGCTATAACATTTAATAATATTTATACTTGGATATTGTTAATTTTTCTAAATGACTTTTATTTAATAATATAATATTAAATAATTTATAAAATCCTTCTGATGTTATATTATTTTTATCTAAAGATAATTCTTTTAGTTTTATTTAATTCAAAAGTAATTATTGAAGTTATTCACAATGAAAATCTTAAAATTAACATTCATTAAACATAAGCTTTGTAACATTTTATAATATAGAATTTGGTTTAATTCTCTGAATAATCAATTCTAGATTAGCTTGTTGATATTTTACTCTTGATAAATCAAGTGTAGTTAAATTAAAGAACAATAATGTATTTGGTTCTTACTAATTAAAATTTATTAGAAAATCAAATTTATAATCAGGATAAATTTTGATTTAAGCTTTCTTCTTTGTTTTAGAGAATTTAAGTTTTTCAATTTGTGTAATGTTATTTTTGAATACAGTAAAGAAATAATAATAACTTTATTAAGTAATATTGTTTCTTGATAGATCTATATATTTGATAGTTTTATTATTGAGTAAAGATTAAATTAACATTTAACATTTTTCATCATTCAATTTGATATTTGCAATGTTAAGTATTTATAAACTATTATTTAATGTAATACCTTAACATAAGATTTAAAATTTATGTTTATTAATTCTATTTTCACTTACATCCAATTCTATTAATTTATTGGATTATCTTAAGATTTCCTTCAAAATTTAGAAAAATTCTATTGATAAAGTAGATTTTTGTATAATTAGATATTCAAGATTTTTTAATGTTTTAATTTAAACTAATTCATGAAATGCATTTAGAAGAACATTACTTTCAATTACTTAATATTCTAAAATTAAAGAGGTTAAACATTTTGTATATTTCATTCCTTATAATAAAGTGTATAAATAATTATGTGATATTAAAGTATTGGAAATTTCAATGAGTTTTAAAGTGTGTTTGTTTTTTTTTAAAACTTATTGTAAATTTTAATAGGATTCTAATCGACATTACATTTTATTTATTGTTAATGAACTAATTGTTTAATTATCAGATAAAGCAGTAAAATTATTCATATAATCTATTGATTAATTCATACTAATGTCAAGCATTTTAAATGAATAGATATCTGAGATAATATCAGATATTATTAATAAATCATCAGCTGTAAGTTTGAGATTAGATAATAACAATTATGGAAATGATAAATGCATTTTTTATATATAAGCTTTAATATTAAAAAGAGTTTAACCATGTATCCAATTTTTTGACATATCTACACATTATAAATTTCTATTTTTAAATAGAAGTGGTAATTTTCTAATTATCACTTCATTTTCATCAATTAAATTATTGCTAATATTCAATACTTTCAAAGAACAACAATTTGATAAACCATTAACAAGAAATAAAATGGCATTTTTTAATTTATTGTTTGAAATATCTAAATTAATTAATGTTGAATTTTTAGATAAAGCACTGTTTAAAAATTCAAAAGAAGATACATTTAAATCACCTAAGTTATTATGTGCAATTAATAATGTTGTTAAAGTATAAGTTTTTTCTATCAATTAACTTAATCTCTCAATTAATATTGGTTCATTAAGTTGACATTAATTTAGATTTAAATATTCAAGTCTATTATATTATTTACTTAATGATTCTAGAACTGGATACATTATATGAGGATTATAACTAAAATCTAATTCTCTTAAATTTGTACATTTAATCTCAAAACAATCCTATTTACCACTCTATATTTCATTATCATCATTTATTAATTAAGATAATAAAAGAGTCTTTAATTTTGACTCTTTCATCATTGAAATCAATGTATATACAATATCATATCTTAATTGATTTAATGAAACATCTAAATATTATAATCTTATTTATTCATGATTAAACACATAAACTAAGATACCCTCTCCATCTATTTGATTTTTAGATACAGATAAACTAATCAGAGAAAAGTTCTCAATCAATGCATAAACTATTGATATAAAACCCTTAGTTTTAATTTTGTTATTACTTAAATCCAAATAGGCCCATTAAACAATATTGCAACATAGTACTTAACTTATTTGATATGCACCTTCAGTGTCAATCAAATTATTAGATAAATTTAAATAAATTACATTTAAGAAGAAATTATTTGGTATTTCTTCAATTCTATTGTGAGATAAATCAATTTTTAACAATTTTAATGTTAGAACATGTTAATTTTAAAATTCTATAATTTTATTATGAGATAAGTATAATTCTTCTAATTAAATTTTAAGAATTATTTATTCTAATTAATCTGTTTAAGTAATTTGATTTCCATTTAAATTAAGGGATTTAATTTTAATGAGTCTGACTGACATGAATAATGCTCTTGCCAATAATGCAATACCATCATTTTTTATTTAATTGTAAGATATATCTAAATAATCTAAACTCAATTTTCCTGTATAATTCAACATCATACTAGATAATGCAATTATTCCTTCATAATTCAAATTCATCAAAGATAATTTCAATCTTCTTTCTATTATTAATTATTCACTACCTTAATGAACTTAAATTATGAGTTTTATCCATAATCTAAGCTAATAATGAGTTCTCAATATTGCAATGAGATAGATTTATTTCTTATAAGAAGTTTTTACCTCCTAATACATATCTACAAAAATCTTATACAACTTATGTTGTAAATGCTTAATTGTTGAATAGATTCAAAATTTTAAGACCTGTGTGATCAATCATCTGGGATAATGAAGAAATTTTACAGCTTTAAATATACAACTCAAACCAAATGAATTTATTTTACAGTCACCCAAGTTTAAAATCTAAATATTCTTGTTTTTTTGTATCAAACCACTAATTTCAATAGCATAGTAAACATTAATATTACACCCAGATAAATTAACTTCACTATTTAGAATATCAAAATATACATCACTCGATTATTTATGCTTAAGGTGTTGCATAAAGTCGTAAAACATGTCAAAGCTCCTCTATTAATACGATAGGCAGCTTCTTCAGAGTTCCTATCTGAGTCTCGATTCATTTTCATTATTAGCTTTTAGATTAACCATCTAAAATTATTCTGGGTTTATTGTGCACTAATTTGTACTATACTCATTAATTATTATTTACATTATTATATAATAAACAATATTAAAACATAGACTTAGTTAATATTATGTTTATTATTAAAAATGAATAGTAGATATCAAATAAACATGAAGTAAAAGTTAGGAAGTGGTATGTATGGAACTGTATACACTGCTATTGATACATTTACAAATGAATTAGTAGCTGTCAAATAAATGAGCAAGTAGGAACTTGGATTAGACAATAAAATTTTTAGATAAGAAGTCGAATCTATGCGAAGTATTCCTTATTAAGATGGGGAAAATGGATCTAAATATTTAATTAGGTAATGTTAATAATTTAATTGATAAAGGTACAAAGATTTCTACTAATGTGCTAATTTCAATAATATAGTAATGGAATGTTTTAAAGACTCTTTAGATCTTAATTCTTATATAGAAAAGAAAGGCAAAATTCATGAAGATGATGCTTTATAGATATTTTATTAAATTGCTTCAGGAATAAGTTTTTTACATGATATGCATATTGTTCATAGAGATATCAAGCCTTCAAATATTTTGATTCGCACTAAACCAAAATTAGAAATTAAAGTTATTGATTTTGGATTTGCCAGACTTTTAAATGATGAATAAACTACTTCAAGAACATATGTTGGAACTCCAATGTATATGAGTCCATAAACCAAATTATTGTATATATTTTGGTCTATTATTTTAATTTAGATCTTAATATGATCCATATGCAAATGATATCTGGAGTTTGGGAGTTCTTTTATTTTTTATGGTTACTTAACATTATCCATGGAAAGCTAAGAAAAGTGATCAATTAGAAAAAGAAATGCTTAATTATGTTGCTTAATAAATTTAGATTAACATAAATGGAATTCCTTAATATGCCAAAGAATTGATAATTGATTGTTTATAAGTTGAAGAGTCTGCCAGAATCAAAGCTAATGATTTAGCTTGGAAAACAAAGAGAATATTATAAATTATTATAGAAAAATCATGCTAGCCCATTTTTAAAGTACCTAGATTCAAATGGGAATAATTAGATGGATATAGACCTTCTATGTAATACCCATTTATTGGGAAGGAAGAACTTGAATAATTGGAGTTGTGAAATTAATAATAATATTAGGAATAATGATTAAGTAAATAAGATATAATTAATTTTTATTATTACTTAATTCAGACCATTAGATCTTATTAATTGTAGACAAGATTATAAAAAATATGCTTTTATTCTCATTTTTCATTAATTTTATAGAAAAATTTAGAAAAATCATTTATCTACAAAGTGAAAAAGAAATTTGAAATTTAATTGAAATTTCATTTTTAGAAATTTGTAATTGATCATTTACAATAATGTTATGGTTTTAATTAAAAATCAATTTGATATTCTTAAATTTTTAATCAATTTTTATGTCATTGTCTAAATTTACAATAAGAAATACTATGGAATTAGTTAATTTTAAATTCAAAAAGAGAATACAAAAATATATAAGATTAATGGAAATAATTACATAATTCATTAATAAATACGATAGAAATAATAGAAAACATACAATATATTAGAATTATAATATTCTAATATAATATATTTCTATATTAATTGATAAACCTTTAATTTGAATAGGATTTATATTAGTTAATTGTTAGTTTATAGAAAATTTCAATCACAATTTAAATTTAATATTAATTGATCACGTTGTAAATTATTATTAATGTAATTATATACCTCATTATATCGTTTCTCCAGATTGGTTCCAAGATAGAGATTATCTTTAAATTAGGCTGATCCTACAATATATACCTTGATTTAAGAAGAAATCAAAAGACAAAGAGAAAGTATCAATTTGATACCATCTGAAAACCATAGCTCAAAAGCAGTGTTGGAAGCTTTGGGTTCTGTGATGTCAACCAAATATGCTGAAGGTTTACATTTCTATAAATTAAAAATAGGTTATCCTGGAGCCAGATATTATGGAGGAACACAAGTGTACGATAAAGTGGAATTGCTTTGTTAATAAAGAGCTCTGAATGCATTTAATTTAAATTCTAATGAATGGGGTGTTAATGTTTAAATGTTGTCTGGAGCTCCTGCCAATTTTGCAATTTACACAGGGTTACTCGCCCCTAAAGATAGAATAATGAGTTTAGATCTTCCACATGGAGGTCACTTATCACATGGATATCAAACTGAAACTAAAAAAGTTTCTGCTGTTTCTAGTTACTTTGAAGTCATGCCTTATAGATTAAATGAAGTAAGAAACAATAAAGTAAAATATTTAGGAAACAGAACTTATAGATTATGAATAATTGGAAGTTTTGGCAAAAGCATTTAGACCTAAATTAATAGTTGCAGGAGCATCTGCTTATGCAAGAATTATAGATTTTCAAGCAATCAGAAAAATTTGTGATAGTGTTAAAGCATATTTATTAGCTGATATTTCACATACAGCAGGTATGATGGCAGCTGAATAATTACCAAGTCCATTCCCATATGCAGATGTTGTAATGACTACAACTCATAAATCGTATCAAATAACTTAATAACTTTTAGAATGAGAGGACCAAGAGGAAGTCTTATTTTCTATAGAGTTGGTCAAAAAGAAGTAGACAAAAATGGAAAACCTATCAATTATGATCTAAAATCAAAAATAGATCAAGCCGTCTTTCCTGGTTTGTAGGGAGGACCCCATTTCCATACTATTACAAGTATAGCTGTAGCTTTGGAAGAGGCCAAAACTCCTGAATTTAAGAATTATCAAAAGAATGTCTTATTGAACAGCAAAAAATTAGCAGACGAATTATTGAAGAAAAGTAATACATTCTAAATAATAAAAAGACTTTTCTTTGGTTTCAGGAGGAACTGATAATCATTTGGTATTGGTTAATTTAAAACCAAAATCAATTGATGGTGCAAGAGTGGAATCCATTTTATAAGCTGTCAATATTTCTGTTAATAAGAATACTGTTCCTAAAGATAAATCAGCTTTGGTACCAAATGGTTTAAGAATGGGGTAAGATTGAATTATATTATATATAGATCAGTGCCTATGACATCTAGAGGAGTTAATTAAGATGAATTTGCTTAAATAGCTGATTTCATTGATAGAGGTGTAGCTATAGCTTAAAAAGTTAAGGGAGAAGCTGGACCAAAAGTATAAGATTTCAAAGATTGGTTGGCAAAGAATGGTGACTAACATCCTGATATACAAAAACTTAAAAATGATGTTGTATCCTTCAGTTCTCAATTCCCTGTTCCTGGATTGGATTGATTAACAAATAAAAAATAAATAATAATTAGACATGAATTTAGAAACCTTACTAGACTAAACTCATCGTAATACTAGAAGAGGCATAGTGTTCTAACATACAAGGAAGACCTTTACAATCAAACCAGATTCACCTAAAACTCGAGAAGCATGTTTGGCTTTGGGTTATGATCCAAATATATTTTAATTCAAGTATCAGTTGAACATTTAAATATTAAGACAATTAGAAGATTTTGCTGAACCTGGGATATCTGAAAATGTTTAAAAGATGAGATTCGAACACTATATGAAAAAGACGGAAGGTAAAACTGAAATAGATTCTAGGTGCGTTGAAGGAGATTAGTAAAATGAGAAAGATCATAATAAAGAAATAAAAAAATATTACTAATTTGCATTTAGAAAAGAGTTTCCAGAGAGATGAAGAGTACCTATTTCATTTAACAAAAGATTGGTTAATGATTTAATTGAAACTTACAACAAGAAAATGAATAGTATTGATAAAGAAGATAAAGATGCTTCATATTTATCATTTGATGAAGATGATCCAATATTAGTATTAGAATAATAGTTGGAAAAAGAAATTGATAAATATAAGAAATCATTATAAATTAAGGCTAAAGAGGTGTAACATTAATTAGATAATGAAAAAAGAAGATAAAAACTACATCATGATATGATTGAAAGAGAAAAGAAAATTGAAGAATTAAAATTAAAAATTTCTTTATAGAAAGCAAAAAAGAAAAAAGAAATGAAATAAGCTTCTTAAAAGAAATTTAATGAAATAAAATAAAAAGAAAGAGAAAAATAAATCAAATTACTTGAAGATAGAAAAAAGTAAGCAGAAAAATAAGAAAAGATGTAAATTATTAAATAATACTAGACGAAAGAAATTAGAATAAGATGAAATTTCACATAAAAAAGAATTAGAAGATTAAGAGAAGAAATATTAAGAAAGAAGATTATAAATATAATTAAGAAAAAATTTACAAGATAAATAATATAATTAATAAATGGCATAAACAATGACATAAATTTAATAAAAATGGGCAGAAACATCATTAAATAAAGAAAAATAAATATGGGAATCTAAATTAGAACGTCTTACTCTTAGAAGTTCTTTACATGAAGAAAAATTAAAATAATATAAATTAAGAACTATGTAAAAAGAAGAATCTTTAGTTTAATCTATTGTTTAAAAATTAGCAAGTAAAGAAGAAGATCTTAAAGGTATTCTTATTTTAATTATATAGCCTTAAAATAATCAAAAGAAAGAGAAGAATAAAATAAACTTAAAGATGAAAAATTAAGAAGAAAAAAAATTGAAAAAAGTCTTAAAAATATTAAATCTTAATAATTTGATAGAGTAGATAGTCTTTAAAAGAAGTTTTAACTACTTGAGGATTATAGTTTGAAAAGAAAAGAAGATTTAGATTACTAAAAATCATTAAAATAAGAAAGAATGAAATTAAAATAATAAGATTTAATTGAAAATTATTAAAGATAAGAAAGATTAAAGGATTTGAGATTTAAATCATTGATTAAATCATCTTAATAATTAAATGAACAAAAATCTTTAGAAAAAATTTCGAATGAATTAATTCGAAAAGCTCAATAAGAACTTTAGAGAAAATTAAAAAAGGATTCTGAAAATCTTGATTAAAGTCTTGTAAATGTAAGTTAAGCTGATGAAAAAGTATTAAAGTAAAATATTAATTTATTTATAATAGCTAAAGAGTTAGTCAACTTGAAAAAAGCTTATCAAGTCTTAAATAAAGTTCTAAGATCATACACTGATAATATTTGCATTTTATTAATATTCTAAAAGCTTCTACTGTTCTTCAATTTTCTGTAAATAAAATTATAATTTATTATATATTTAGAAAAATAGTCTAATTCTTAATATTAATTTTATAAAATAAGTTTATTATTAAATGCAAATAAATTACATTATAAAAACGATATATCAATTCTTAAATGTAGATTTGTCCTTTGTCTTAAGTAATTTTATTTTGAATTGATCAAAGTTATATTAATAATTTTAGGTTTTGGAATGAAATTCAAAGAGCAATAGCAATAATAAATATTGGTTTTTTTTGTGTTAAAATAATAATTATTATTCAAACTAATTATAATAACCAAGTTATTTCAAAGAATTTATTAATCTATAAAAATCATTATGATAAAATGGTTTTAATTTCCTAATTTATAAGAACTATTTAATAGATGTTACAATATATAGATTAAGAAATTTATGAAATTACTCTAAAAATATATTAAAAAATTTAATGGTATTTTATATTTTGAAAAACTGATATGATTAGATAAATAGATAATTTCCTTCTTCCATTATGAGAGGTTCCAATATAATAATTTAATTTATAAAATTGTAATATTTTTGTAAAATGGGATCTTGCTGTATGAATAAAATGGATATGGAGACACTTAATACTAATTTATCAAGTGAAATGTCAAAGAAAATAGTAATTAATAGTCCAATAGTGAAAAATATTATTGGAAAATAATTAGAAATTGTGGAAATTCCATCATATACAGTATTAGATAGTGTTTTTGAATATGAAGTGTTAGACAATATTGAAAGTGAAGATTCAGAATCATCAGAGAAAAAAAGATTTAGTAATGGAAAAGGAATTTTAAAATAAACAACAGCAAAATCTCATGGTTCAGGTGGAAGTTCAGCAAGTAGCTCAAAAAAAGTATCATTTTGTAGGACAACAACCTTCTTTGAGAAAAAATCAAGGAAAGGTTTAATGTTAGAATCATAAACTTTATCTTGATTTATATAATATATGTTTTTTTTAACTTTTTTTATTGTTTCATACAACAATTTGAAGAAGTGCTGCTCTAGTTCTATCATTGAAATTATTTTCAAACAATTCCAATAATTAAAGTACAATTTGTATTTGTTCATTTCTTGAGACTCTAGCTTATTCAGCAGCATTATTATCTTCTTTACAAGCAACTTCAAAAGACTTCCTTTCCACTTCTTTATTATCATAAATAATTTATTAAAGTAAAGCTTATTATTATAGATCTTCTAATCTTTATTAAGCAAATTCAGCAGCAACTTAATCATCAGCAATTTAACCTTATAATCTAACATTTTCTTTAGAAAGTCGAAGTCTAAATTTAAATAATAATAAATACAAATCTTATTCAAAGAATTTTTATGCCCAATCTTCTGCATACATTTCTCTTTTTTAGACATCGTAAATACTTTCAATTAAGTCATTTATGATATCAACAATAACTTAAACATTATCATTATCAGAATGTATTTTAATATCTGTACATAATTCCATTAATAATGATGCCATATTTTTAAATTCTGAATTGGCAGCATATGATTTTACTAAAATAGAATATATTAGATACATAATTATTCATGATGTTCTTTCAATTAAACAAGAGCACCTCCAGGATGAGAAGTTTACAATTATCTTATAATTTATTATGCTTATTTTAAACCATTTATTAAACCAATAAGTTCATCTCTTTTTTGTTCATACAATTAATGTTCTTTTCTTCTTTATTCTGAAAAGTTTATTTATAATTAATCATTTCTTTAAATTTCAGCATTCTTTTATTCTACTTATGCTAATTTATTTGTTAATTCTTCTTATTTTCCTGGTATTTATCTTTCATAATCAGCCTTAGAAACAAGAGCTTTTTCTTAGATTGTATTAATTTATGTAAATTAATCAGAACATTATGCTTATCTTTCTCCATTAGCTTTACTTGAACGAGCATCTTCATCTCTAAGATCATAAAATAATTTATTAAGCATAGTGTAAATTTATCTTGCTGCATTTCTAATGTTATTAAATATTATTTTACTCTTAAGTTAGTTCTAATTGAATTGTTTACAATATTTATCTACCAAAACTATTTTATGCAATTTGCTCTAACATTTCAGGTTGTTGACCTAAAATGCATGCTAAAAGAGCGATGAAAATAATAGCTTTCATAAATAATAATTAAAAACGAATATGATTATCTAAAAAGGAAATAAAATTTAGATTGATAATCCTAATGAAGAATTAGATAAAGAAGTTTTATAAAATTGCAAAACTCATGAAGCCTTTTTTAGATCATATTGCACATTTTGTTATCCTTCTAAGGACCCTGAAGAATTTTATTGTTAAAGTGACCAAGAGAAACCCATTAATTACTTTATATTAGATTTTCAAGAAAATAAATATTTAGATAATCAACTCTATAATGCAGGGATATCAAGTTATGATCAATTTCTACATAAAGATTAAATAGCTAATCTGAAAAATAAACAAGGGACTGATCCTAAAGATATTGCAATTTAATTAGGATTGTATACATAATAAGATGTGGAAGAATTAATAGATAGAGCTGTATAAGAAAATTGGTAGGATTTATAAGAATTCTCTGTCACTGTTGATTTCTGGGAAATTAGTCAAACCAAGACATTTTTTAATAGAGCTGAGCAAATTTTAGAATATTTAAATCTCCATAATTCTATCATTATTTATCCTTCAAAAAGAGCCTAATTTATTAAGATGTTAGAAATAAACTAGAAGTAAGCCTCAAGATTCTTGGCATCCTTTTAAATTATAGATTAATAGGCTAGCTAATTGAAATCAGACACAATTTAAATTTAAAGAAAAAGTTCACTTCCTGAATATGCTGATGGTTAATAGAAAAGGATTCTAAATAGCTTATTAAAGACAACATAATATTTCCCATTTGGTGGAGAAATTGTATACTTTACAGATGATTATAAAGATTTATAAACTATTGCTTTCAAATTTGGTAAATAATCGACTCCTTTCAATATTTATTGTGATCCAAAAGATATTGATAAATATTATAATGTAGCAGGTTTATCAGGGGGTAAAGTTTATTCATACTTTTCAGAAGAAAAGAGATAAATAACACATAAATTAAGAGCTATAATATCAAATAATTATATATTTACAGAATCATAAACTAATAAGTTTGAAAAGTTCTATACAGATATAAATTTTCCAATTGATTTGGATTATGAATTAAAAGACCCTACTAATGATAATCCTGGTGGTTGTTTGTAAGTAATATTAGAAGATGATGATGGTTATTATGTTGAATAAAAGATCATTTAAATGAATTCTAATGATGATCTACATGAACCAAGTGTGTCATTAAGTTAAGAAACATTGAATTTAACAGATTTACCAAAAGAGTGAATATAATAGTAATATATAAAAAATAATTATTTATTAATGTATAATTAGAACTTATTTAATTACAATTATTTTTGTATTCTTTTTAAATTGTTACTTAGCATGTTCTTTAATAATTATATATAATTTTACAAAATAAAATATTAAATATTACCTCTTCTAAAGAAATTTAAATAAATAAAATTATAAGACTTCAATTAATATAAAAATTGTTATGCTTTGATAATTTTATCATTATTTTTATGAAATTTATAATATTTGAATAGTTGTCATGTTTAGCTCATTTAACTCATAATACCCAACCATCTGAGTTTTGGATTATATTGATTGTTTTAATTACTAATCTTTAATACCTAGCAATAATGTTACCTATAAGTGGTTGGAATTTATGGAAATACAGCAATGGACACTTTTACCTTTTATCAAAACTTGCTTAAGCCTCTTTGATTATACCTTTTAGTTTTGAATCTAATTTTAACTTTGGAGAAGTTGTATTTGGCATTCTCATTCTACTCCTGTTCACTTTTATAATAATCATCATTATTTTAGTGATTCTAGGAATACAAGATGATATAAATCCTCTTTAACATTATTAACTTAGAAAAATCATTTTTTATTTCATTATGCTCAGTACTACAATATTTTAATTGCCAATTCTATTTTTATTAATACCATTCATAATGATAGGAAGAACCAATTTTAATTAAGAGTTAACAATTTTTAATGTAAAAAGTATTTTGAGTCTAGTAACACTATTTATATTCTCAATATTTGTATTTTTGCAATAATATTTTTTGAGGGCGTATACATTTGTACCTTTTAATTATTTATAATAAAAGTTTAATGGATTGCAATCAATTTAATACTTTCTCTCAATTTTAATTACAATTTTGTATTTAGTTGAATATGATACAATTGTTTAATATATTCAAATATTAATCATATTCTTAGTTATAATTTTGAGATTAGTAGAATCATTTTTTATGAAACCATCTATTCCTTTAGTTAATCAAATATAATTTTCATTTAATTTTACATTAATTGCAATCCTAATTATTTTAAGTATTAACATTTTTACTCATAATGAATATATTTTCTAAGAAGATTAACTTATTTATGTTATAATGTTATTGGGTCCAAAGGCATTCCATTTAGGTAATTAATTTTACATTATGAAATGTTTATCAGTATTTGATTATGAAGTAACACCATTTACTTGTATACATTATACTTAAGAAATGCATTTCCAATATTTAATAACATGTGAAAATCAGAAAAATAAAGAATTCTTTTAACTTTATTAATATTGGAAGGGTCATAAGGTAGTTTGTTAAAAACATTGGTTAAAATAGAATTAAAAAACAGATTACAATTAGATTTAAAGAACTCATTAAACTATCTTCTGTATCTTAAATACAGAATTAGAGAGAGCATAATAAGATTCTAGAACAGCTTATGAAGAATTATAATTGTTATATATGAGTTATGTGGCTTAATTCTGTAAAAAGCCACTCTTAGCTTATGTAGAATTAAAACGATATCAAAGTAAATAATAAATTCAATCATTTTACTTTATTTCTATAAGATATCAAATGAGTATTTATCTTTAAACTCTTATTAAGAATTAATAATAAACTAATTAATAAATATATGGATAATAAAAAGTTGCTATTACTGAAAGATAATTAAGTATATAATCAATCTTTGAAGCTCTCTAATTTCAAGATTAATTCATTCCTAGTGTTTTAGAATTATTAAATGATAAGATCAATTTTTGGAATAGATAAATCAAAGGGTTTAATAATATTTATGAATTAGAACGATTAGCTATATATTAAAGCAAAAAGATCTTTAATTTAGCTAATTAAATTAATAAATATTGTTCAATAGATATTAAAAATTTAGATCATTTATCAATTTCTAATAATGTATAGGATTTGAAATTAATATCTATTTTTTGTAGTGCTATTATGAATGATTATTATAGTACTTAAATATGTGAAAATGCTATTAGTGAAATTTATAATATTGAACATACACTTTAAGAAGATACAATGACAAATTTATCATTTATTTAAGAAAGAGCAGTAATTTTAATGTTAAGTTTAGTTAAGAATAGAGGTAAGATAATAAATTAAGATAAGAAAATGATATCTTAATTTTTTAATTATAGTGAATAAGAATTTGCTTAAATAGATAATATATCAGGATTAATGCCAAACTTTTTTGCAGAAAAACATGATAAATTATTATTAAATTATTTGTAAACTGCAAAGTCTTAATTTTTTGATGATTATAATTAAGTTTTTGGTAAATCAAAAGAAGGTATGATAATTTCATATTAACTTAAATTGGATAATAATTTTAGTGAATTAGATGATTATGTTTTAATTGGTTGTCTTTCATAAATAAAAAAATCAGCAGATTATTTATTATTTAGTGATGATGGATTTATAATTGGAATGACTGAGAATTTTTATTCAACAATTATTGATTCTAAAGATTAATCATATAGAATATTACATGATAATTTAAGTTAATTAAATGCTTTTTTTTTAATTCCCAATATGATGGAATTATTAAATGAATTAAAAAATACTTATGGAAAAGATTCTATTTATGTTTAATAAGATAAGTTTTATAAAATCTGGAAATATCATAATAATAAAGATTTATATGATATATCTATTAAATTTGGATATTCATCTAAATAAAACTCTTTTATTAATGATAGTAGTTTATTTAAATCTAGAGCCTCTTTTGCTTCTATTGAAAAAGAAAAGGCAGATATTCAAATATACTAGTAATTAGGATAATCTATTGGAGAGAATAAAAAATTAAAAGGAGTTTCAATTTTATAAGCATTAACAATCTACAGTGTTGCATTCAATAACTAATTAATGAATTCATTATAAGTTTTAGAAGTAAAGTAAAATTGTTTATTTTTAGGGTAAACCTAAGCAACAATATATTGCTAAAATTAATATAGTTTACAAAATAATAGGAAAAAAGGAGAATAGAAAAAGTTATTTTATTTTAGAAATAAATGATTTGAGGAAAGCTGATGAGTTTTTTAAGACAAATGATTCTCTTATGAATAATTAACATACTTTTTCAATTTAAACAACTAATAAAGGTAACATACCTGCTGTTTAAGATTAAAGTGAAAGTTATTTAGGAACTTTAAATGTAGACAAAGAAGAAGTAACACCTAATATTTCCAAATAATTATAACCTGGATTTTAAAGACTTTTGAATAAATTTGAAGGTAAGAATTAAGCATAATAAAATTATATGGATATATTGGGAATGGAATCAGCAAGAGATAGTATTAGTTATGGCCCTTTATCTTAAAGAATAAATTTCATAAGTCCATCATCTAAATAATAGCATATGTAAGAATTGATAGATAAAGATTTTATGGACATATAAAATTAATTGGAAGTAGGAAATGAAGATATAGGAAATGAAATTGAAATGGCTGATTCATCTAAAGTCAAAAGTAATAGCAAAGATTAAAATTAAAAGAGCAATAATCTTATTGAGATATTACAGAATAATAGATTAAATTAAAAAAATGAAGATTTAGATAGAGAAGCTAAAAAATCAAAATCAAGCATTACTTCTGGAACTTCAGGGGTTTCTGCTATGTCTACAATTAAGAAATTTTAATCAAAAACAGAAATGACAAATAGTCTAAGAATTTTAGTGACTATCAATATCATAATTATGATGATAATCCTTGCTTATATAGTAGCACATTTATTGAAGATTTCATCTTACAATAATTAAACATAATTAACACTATCAAACATTAATGGACCAACATTATTTAATAGATATTTTTTTAAAGTCTTCACTTACACATGGAGTTTGGTTTTCAACAGTCTTGGAATTATTGAGAGTAGTGATTTTTTGATTACTTAAACTATAGCAGAAATGTAAGATTTAGCCTCTGTTATTTTTGATGATTTAAGGAATATGTATGATACTTTTATTGGAATAGAATAATCAGGAATGCTTAGTTCTATCAACTTAGATTTTATGTATTAAAGTAATGAAAATGTTACATATACATATTTTATAAATATTATTTCTAATGTAGCTGACACTTTGTTTCAAGCCCTCAATTATAACATATAGACCTTGATTTAATTAATTGATAGAAATTACTTAGATAATTTACTTATGCTTAGATATAATTTAAAAAATGTTGTCAATATGAATTTTTAATTAATAGATTCCCTTAATGAATTGTTTTTTTAATAATAATAGAGTTAATTAGAAGAATTTTAGACATAAATAATAATAGAAATAATTTTATTGGTATTAGTTATAAATATATAATTGACATATTGGAGATAAATAGAATAATATAGTTAATAAATATTGATATTAGTTGGAAGGCTATAAATGAATTAAGCATAAGATATGATAACAAGATTCACAGCAGTTACAGAAACATTAAAATAATTATCTGGAAAATATGGATGGAAAAAGTAAAATTATTATAAATTACTTTTCTTTCCTTTAAATTAGATAGGAATTGAAGCTATGTAAACATAATCTAGAGTTCTTAAAGAATATCAATTATCTTAAATTGGTATGTAATCAATAAAGTTGAATCATATTATTGAAGACAGGAAAAATTATAAAAAAAATCTAAATGTTGTACTTAATTCCAAAATAAATAATCCAAATACTACTATATGGAGTGCTACTATAATAATTATGATAACTTGTCTTATTTTTTTATTTTATCTTTTAGGAGGTTTTCTATTATTTAAAAAATAATAAAATGATTTATTACCTACCTAATAATTAACTCTTGGTTTTATTCGTTTTACTTCTCAATTAGATATAGTTGTTAGTACAGCTTTTATTACAAAAACTTAACCTATTTTATATAATTAATTGGTTGATTTGAAATTTTATTCAGATAAAGAAATGGAAACTTTTAGGGACTAAAGAGTAATAATATCAATCTTCATTTCACTTTATTCAATTTATTTTGAAAATATTACATAAATTTATGAAAATATTATTGAATCTAACAAGATTACAGAAGAAGATGAAAATATATTATTAATGTTATATTCAGGTGATTTTTGTGAGTTATTAAGTGAAGATATTCCATTTTGTAATTATGATAATACAACTAATTTTTATGAACTATATGGAAAACCAACTAGATTAGATGATAATAGAGACTATTTAAGTAAAGGAATTTAAGGAGTTGTAAGTAGATTAGATTCATTTTTCAAATAAAATTATTATTATGAAACTAATAAAGTTGATTATTTTCCAGACTTAGATGTTGTAAAAGATTTATTTAATACAAGAGAATTTACAAATACTTTAATTGAACATTTTTTAGATACTACAGATGGAACAAATCTATTTATAGATACAATAATGAAATCTGTAATAAATATTACTTAAAGTGATCTAAATTTAATGTATACATATTATTTAGTGACTGGATTGATGTTATTATTATTTTATCTTTTATTCTATGGCTGCTGGATTTATAGAACAAATTAAAGACTCATATAATTAAGATTAATTTTAACTAATTTGCCTATTGAAGTACTGACAGAACAACATACGTTATCATTACTCAAGAAGCTGTAATGAAAATTAGTATCCATGTGTGTTATTCATATATATATATATTAATTGGAATAAGTTATTCATTTTATCAAAAGGATCTTTATGCTCTAATTGATCTACCTCTAGATTGTCTCATTCTCAAATATACTCTTTATCTTTATAATAATTTTTATAGAGCACCAAAATAATTTGATTTTGCATCATCAAAGAATCTTAATAATTTTCTAGATCCAACCTTTAAATATCGAAATCTTTCATGTAAAAATTATAAGTCTTTTTATTCTATTGCTACTCTACATTGTTGCTTTACTTCTAATTCCTTTACTAAATTAAATTCTATTTTTTCAAATAAAAATTTCAAATCTATATCTTCTAACTATTCTCTGTATTTACAAATACAATCTGTAAGAGTATATATTACTTTTAATCTTAAAGCATTTTTTGAACACATTTTTTTAATCACAGGCAATAAATTAATAAAGATTCTACTTAGATTTTAATTTATTGGATATTCTCTTGTTGTAACACGATTTAATTCTTTTTTTGTAAATTTTGGTAAAGATAAACAAATATAATAGAGAAGTACACTAATTTCTTATGGATTTATATATAAATCATCAATACTAGCTAAATAATGTATAAGTTAATCATCCAAAAAAGGATACTATATTCTTTTGAATTCATATAAAGAATTTATTGCTAAGGAAATCATTTCTTTACTTTATTCATTATTTGCAAGTAAATGTTTAATTTATTTAGCACATTTTTATACAATAGAAATTTCAGTAGGCCACAATTATCTACTAACTACTATGATTTTCTTTAATGAATTTTCATCAGTTTCTGTTTATAATTTATTTAAAATCTTTTCTCTTAAATCAACTTTTTGAACTTCATTAAGTTTCTATACATCACCTAAAAGAATTTCAGTTAAGTAAGCATTTAAATTTTGATTATCAATTAATTCAATACTCTAAGTTTAATGCTCAAGATTCATATATAAATCATATTCTTTATCTCCTTACAATTATTTTTCTTTTAAACATATTTTTCGAAGTTCCTTTAACTCTGCAATATCATATTTATTTGCTTTTAAAATATTGATTGTTCGAATTATTTCTAATAATGTTGATTCTCTTTTAGGTAGCATTCTAAATTCATCAATAAAATGTTTAAGCAAATTCATAAGATCAAATTTAATATTAATTTTTTAATGTGCAAATTATTAAAGTAATTAACAAGTATACTATAGATTTGACTCATTAAGTTTATATTATAGTATACGATTAAAGACTAAACTCCAAGTTTCATTAGGTAATTTATTAGTTTAAGATCTTTTAGATCTTTGATATAAGACTAATTCATTTAAGAATTCAAGTTCATTAGATTTTTCAATATTATAATGAACTAAATTAAATGTGTGAATAGGAATGACTTATAAATTGAGTTTTTAACAGAGTATTAAATGTTTAAAAAGTTTACTTAATTAAACATCTCGATATACAGTAAGGGTAAGTTCATATTGTTCAATTATTTAAGCAATTCCATCACATTTTAATAAATTAATAGGAACATCATAAATATTGTGATGATTAATTAATAATTATGTTAATTTGTTATTATTAATTTTAAACAAGTCCTCAATACCATATAATTCTGAATATCTCATAATTATTTATTTCATAAGATCATTAGGTTCTGTTTCAATTCTGAACAGATTTTAAATGAGCATTCTCCAATTACTAATTTATTTAAGATCACAAGTAAGTAATGTATTAAAATAATTTTACTTGTGTTATTGAAATTATTCAAAAAACATTTGATTACGTGTTGATTATTGATTTAGATAATAATATCTCTCAGTGTCTTAGATTAATTGCTTTGAAAGAGTTGAGAATTAAAAAATTTTTCTAAATTACATAATTAAATATTTTATTATATTTAAAAACATCATGCTTCTATTTTATTAGGAAGACTTACATTTCTTTTTCTCTTTGATCTTTCTAAATTTTCTAATTTAATTTGATAGCTTCTGCAATGAAACAAAATACAACCTATTAAAAAAAGAATAACAAATATCAATATAACTGTTAGATATATAGTTATTTATTATTATTCTGGTGAAAGCAAAGGTTTTTTTATTTCAAAATTGTATATATGATTGGTAATACAATATTAAAGTGGATTAGATTTATTGGTCTTTTTATCACAATCAGTACTATTTATTTAAACCTTTAAAAATTTAATAAATTAAATTACATTTGCTTAATAAAGTCCTGATTCAACATCATTACTATTACAAATGATTACTGTAGGATATGCTCTATAAATAAATATGTAAAATCCATGAGGAGATATGGCAAAAAGAGTATCATTAGTATTACCAAATTTATTCACACCTAAAAGATTTCCACTAAAGAAATAATTGTCTCTAAAATATTAATAATTAAATTTACAATCGTTTTGCATCTTAATCAAGATATTAATCAGGCATTTAAATAAGCATGATTTTATGATCATGTAAACCACGAACAATAGCAAAATCATCATCTAGAATATCTGTTCTTCTTAATTGACTTTTTGAATATATTCTACGCATTTCTAAATATTCATCATCCTATATGAATAATTCAATAATTTCAGAATTTGATTAATAATTTTATATTAAAATAATTGTTTATCCTCTTACTGAAAATGATTTACAATCTGAATATTTAATCAATCCCAATTTTCCATTTTTAGTAAAAGCTCCATTAGAATGGATTTAATATTATGTAATTCCATGATAATGATCTAAAATATACAATTTATCCTAAGAAACAGCTACATCTACAATTCTGAATAAGTCTTATTAAGTATCATACAAATCTTAAGCAGTAATAGATTTAATAAATTTTAAACCATGCTATTATATTTCATATATGAATAGACCTTATGACTCTTAAGCAGAATATAAAAATCCATTATTAGCTATCACTCTAAATTTATCATTTGGCTTTGTCCATCCTCCAACTGGTTTATGTTAAATTTCATTATTAAGAAATTAATATTTGATAACTTAATTATTGTCATTTAAAAAAGCATAGAAATATCTTGATTTTTCATCAAACACTAATTGAGTAGTATATTAATAATCATTGAATAATGGTAGTGTTTAATTGATGATAGATAAATTCTTTTAATTTGTGTCTATGAAATAAACTCTACCTTTTGAAGATAATATACTAATTCCTTCTGGACTCACAGCATAAGAGGATAGCTTCTCATTATATCCTCTAAATAAATCATCTTCACTCAATTCATCAATATCCTTCTTTGCTAATTCATGTATTAATGATATAAATCCAGATGGAGATTGATGAATAGTTACTCCTTAATAATATGTTGAACAAATTTAACTTGATTCATCTTGACTTTAAAATTTCACAGATCTATAAATTAATAAAACAAAATATTTACAAAATTTTTCCCAAATCATCTAATCTTTTGATAAATGATTATTAGTCTACATTCATCATAATATTTGTCAGTTTTTATTCTGTATCATTAAGAAAACTAAAATTTAATCCCATACTCTAACAGATTAAGAGAAAATAAAGGAACATTTTTAATATATTAATAATTTATAGAAGTAAAATTATATTGTATTTCAAATAATAACAATAAATATATATATATATTCATTATAAGATTTTAAGCAAGGATATTGTATATATATCTAACATTATTTCAACAGGTAATAAAGTAATCAATAGTCTTAGATGAATTAATCTTAAATTGACTTTTATAATCATTATTCCTCCTGATATAATCAAAAAGACTATAATAAATATTCCTATCAAATATTAATACAAATCTTATATATTTTATTGATCTGTTATAAGATTTATTATAGATTCTTGAATTTTATTAAAAAATTCCTCAAAACCTAAGTATGTATCTAAATAATGTTGTACTATAATATTATTAAAATCCTAACTATTTAATTGATAATTCAATTTAACAAAATCATTATCCATTTTTCCTGTTTAATACTCATACTCATAATATTACAATAAAAATACATCCATCTTACTTACTATTCCTACAATCCCAGATTTTAAATATTAAGAATTGTTATCCTTACTATCATATTCACCATATTCTAATCTAAATTATTATTATGATAATTCCTTATTACAAAATGGAATTTAATTACCATCAAAAATTAAACAAAAATCATTGTTGTATAATTTTAGTATATATGTTTCATCTTCATCATTAATTATATCATAATCTATTATCTTTTAATAAATTGAATTTAAATCTGAATGATTAAAGCTATATGCCTCTGATAAAATAGCAGTAACATTATATTCCTCATTTATACTGTCAAGAATGAGTTTCTCATTTTTAATTACTTCATCCATAACATTATAAATTTACTATTAAGACTTTATCATTAGAGCAACAGAAATTGCATTCTCAAATCTTATTTAAAATGAAATATAATCCATAGCCAACTCATATGCAGGATTTAATTTTAATGATTAATCCTTATATAATAAATAATCTCCTAAGAAAAAAAAGCATACAAATGATATATTAATTATTACATAAACTAATTTTAACATTATGTTAATTTAGACATTCGAGATCCTGGAATTTAAAGGAATAGTAGTAGAACCAGGTTTTTTTGTTAAGATTTCTTATTATTTAGACTTTTTTGACTTTATTAATATTGATTATATCTTTGATCTATGTTACTTAAATCCTTTTTTACTCTATAACATATCTGTGTAACATAATTTATAACAATTCTATTATTTAAATCCCAATTCTCCATAAGTTTATTTGATTATTTATCCCACTAATCTAAATTTAACTATTTAATTTTCTGCTCCATTTTCTGTCAATCTATTAGATAATAATAATATTTTTTAACAATATTGTTCAATCCTTCTCCAAAAGTACAATTAACTTAATATAAGTAATCCAATTATAATTACTTCTACAAGAATCTAATTAAATAATAATAATATCTTTCCATCCTATTAATCAGTATAATATGATCCTAATGATTGAATTATTTAAAAATTATTTTAGATTATATTAGCAAAATTGAGTCTATATTTTAAAAGATTTGATAAATAAATTGAGTTTGATTCAAAATGTAAAAGTCTATATCCTATATTTTAAAGATAATAGATATAATCAGTAAAATCTACATTTTCAACATAAATTGTATTTTCTAAATGAGTAATATTCAAATTGTCTAAATATCCATTATTTTCTAATGAAATAAAATTAGAATACATTTTTGTCAAATTGATAAAAGTTGTTTCCATACTTTAACTTTAATTATACATTTAATTATTTATAAATTGACTTGTATTTAAAATATCATTAATCACTAAAGAAGTGATCCATGAATAAGTGAACAAATTTAAAAAGTATTTGTTTAAATTTATAGGTAAGTTAATATCTGTTATAAATTTAGTTACTGATTAATTAAAGATGTTTATTTATGATAAATTAATAGTCATAAAAATGATAAATAAAATAAGAATGACAAATTTTATTAATGAAATAATTGCAAGACTTGAAATTAAGGAAGTTTTAGTCTTAAATTTATTTACTATTTCTATTGCAGTTAATCCTGAATTACCAGATTTAGTTGTTGATTAAGATTTTAGTATTCCTACTCCATGATTTGATTTATATTCATTCTAATGCTATAATACTTATTGTATTTCATTGCTAAATAATTCTTCACTAAAACTTTAAGAATCAGCTTATCCTAATGAACCCATCAAATTTAATCTTCTTTCACTTACATAATGTAAAATCTAATTATTCACTGGAGATTTATCAAGAAAACTTTTCTTTTGTATTACTGAACCAATAGGACTCATCAATGATGAATCCATTTGATAATCAGGACTTTTTGGAATAGTTTAAAATTATTAAACAAAACTTTGTTTATGACTTGAATGTCTTTAAACTGTCCTACGAATAGGTAAATTTTATCTTCTAATTTATTTTTTTTCTTCATCTTATTAATTTGATTTATCAACAAATTCAGATAATTCCAATATAAAATAATGTTATTTATTTTCTTTCTAACCTAAACTAGTTAATTAAATTTTTGCTGTACAAAAATATATTGTTTTTTATAATACCTATTAAATTTAATTTATAATTACT